TTGTGTTGTGGGTTTGGTGTGCAAAAGGCCCCAAGAGTTGCTTTGTGTTGTGGGTTTGCAGCACAGCTGCTGTGAGTCTCCAGCATGATGCATGGAGGCTGAGCCTGGAGCGGGGCAGCACAGCAGGGGAAACCTAGAGCCTCCATGCGTCCTACCCCAGAGCCACCTTGTGTCCCATACTGGAGTATGTCCCACCTCAGAGCCACCACATGTCCCACCTCAGTCTGTTGCATCCCAGAGCTACTGCTTGTCCCATCCTGGAGCCACTATTGTCCAACTCCAGAGCCACCACATGTCCTACCAAAGCCTGTCCCATCTCAGAGACACTTCATGTCCAATGCAGAGCCTGTCCCACCCCACTGCACGTCCCACCCCAGATACTGCCCCCCCAGAGCCTCCACATGTCCCAACCCATAAACTGTCCCACCCCATGTCCCATGTGATGGCATTTTGGGGACCAGCACAATGCACGGCAGGCAGAGGTGGACATGGGTGCGTGGCACCGAGGGCACAAGGACACAGCGCAGGGGACACAAAGGGGCAGCCACAGCCCCACACACCCCACACTCAACCCTGGGCATCACAACCCAATGACTTCCAGCACCTCTGTGCAAGGCTGTCAGTGACAACGCATTTCCAGAAGGGCTGTGAAAGAGAAACCGAGGCCAGGGAAACATAACCATGGCTGCAGGTTTATGTACAGATCCCAGGAAGAGTTGCAGATAAACGTGTTATTGGGTTAAATAAAAATAAAATGAATTCTAGATAATGTTTTGAAATTTATGACATAATTAAGCTATTAATTTAATGGTCTTTATTATTTGGGCTGGAAAACACGCACCGGTTCTCATCTCGTTCCTTTTATTCAACAACGAGCTCATCATACACACTCATTATGCATTTTCATAAACATTTGATGAACAATAACTGAGAGAAACATAAAATATTGTTTTTGTCCTTCAACTGTAATGACCATATGGAGACACGTTTTGCATCGGAGTCAGCAGTTGTACATCTCTGTTAATAACAGCCCTTGCTATTTTTACTGTTTGCAGCACAAATGCAGCCTTTTATGGGAGCGAGAAGGGGGGGAAGGAAAGATTTAATCTGCAGGGTCTTTTGCTGTGATTTGTAAGAGAGATGTGGTGCCCACACTCCCCTGTGACTCAGTGGCAGCTATAATTACTCAGTATTCTGGGCTACTTGCTTACAAGATGTCAATTTATGTGCTAGCAGAGCGAGCGCTTCGGTTGGGGACATCTCAGGAACCCCATGCACACACTTGGGTTTGCAAAGACAACCTTTTACAAGGCAGCAGAGCAAGGTCTTGCACTCGACTCAGGGCTGCTGAGAGCCAAGGGTTTGGGTTTGGGAACTGGATGCAATGTGGGGCCCTTCAAAATGAGAATATTTGGTGATTGTGTGGTTACCGCCCAGCTCGCCCCGCTGCCCCCAGCATCCCACCCTTGGATTTCAGCACACACTGAGCCAGGAGCCTTCTCTGGTGGGTTTCTATGGCAGCAGCGCCTGGATGCTGCACAAGTGCTTGTAGAGGGTGAACAAAATCCCAGCAGACGATGCTCCAACCCAGAACACCCATCTCTTCTGCACACTGGGGGCTCAAAACCGCCCGTCGGGAGCCCAGGCTGCGGCACAGCAGAGCCTATAAAACCCAGGGATGGATGTAGTTGGAGCTGGGATGCGTCTGGTGGAGCATTAATGAAGTTCCTCCTGGGGCAGGACACGGATTCAGACACAACACTTCCCCTCCAGCATCGAGTCCTGGGCCAGTGTCAGCCCCATACGGATTTATGGCTCCTTGTGCTCGTAAATGTCGGCTCAGCGGTGATGGATGCGGGCGCCGGGACGCGCTCCCCTCAACTTCGGGAGATTTCTTTATTTTTCCTGATCTTTTACAACGGCCATAAAGCAGCTGCTGATTAGTGACGGGTCTTAAAACTTTAGGCAAAAGCTGTTGAAATCAGCTTTGAGTGCTAAGCTTCTCCGAAAGCGGAACGGCTTAGCGTCTTGGTTTTGAGGTCGCATGTGTGACGTGTGGCCCTCGGAGCTGCAGCCGTTGCAATGGCAGTTTGGGTGGGTTTGGGGTTAGGGACCAACCCTGCCCCTTTCTGTCCCCTTGGATGCAGGAGAGACGTGGGTGAGGATGGTGAGTGGTGGTGGGCACTGCTGCCTCTCCCAGCATAAAGACCCTCAATGGCATCACTCTGGGACAACGTGACCACCATGCAGACCAGGTGCTGCTCCTTGCTCCCAAGCTGGGTGCTCCCAAGGGTTGGGCAGCAGCAGCAGGGATGTGGAGTCAATAGAACCATAGAATTGAGTTGGAAGGGACTTTTAAAGGCTATGTGGTCCAAGTCCTCTGCAATGAATGGGGCAAAGCTGGGAGGAAGCTTCTGGAAGGGCAGTCCTTGTTTCCTTGTTGTCCCAGGGCTGCGGTTCTGGATGTGTCTGTTCGTTGAGCAGGCTACCCTCATCATGTTTCTTCTTTGAGTGTTGACCACAGCTTTGTCTTCATCTGGGGGAGATTTCACATTTAGGGGAGGAAGCATCACGCTTGGTGGAGGAAATCACCTTCTGGTGCCTCTCACCATCTTTGGCTCCCTTCCATCTCCCAGCCTTTGGGTGAGCCCTCATCCCAGCTTCCACTCACCAGTACCAACCTTGTCCTGGCTGCTCACACAGAGCTGCACCTGGGGCAGGCACCCTCACTCCTGTCTAAGTCAGTGCCCCTCTGCCTCCCCTCCACAGAGCTTTTGCAGGAGATACACCCATCTCATCCCATCCCGCAGCATTACAGGCAGCAGGTGAGTGTTGGATGGGAGAAGGAAGCAAAGAGTTGATGGATTGGTGGATGGAATGATGGAAGGATGGGTGGACATCCCAATTCCACCTCCAAAATCAGCTCTTCACCAGTTAGAGAGCAAAGTGGCATCTGGGCTCCTCTGCCTGCAGGTGCTGGCTGGTCTCTGCCCATTCCCATCACCTGGGAGCCGTTCCTGCAGGACATGGCACATTCCCTCCCTGCCTGCTGCTTCTCTCAGGAGCAGAAGTTAGCCAAGATTTATCACAGCACTAAACCTAGGATTGAGCACATTTGAAAGAAGAACAATTTATTCATCAAAAATACGGCTTCGTTTTATCTGCAATTATTCTCAAGTTAAAGCCTCATCCGGCGAGCAGTTGGCTGAATAAACAGCAACTTTTTATACCTAAACCACCCCATTTTGACATCCTGTTGGAAAAAAAAATAAATACAGGAGGACGTAACCCACCCAGACAACAACCCAGGCCCTTTTTCTTTTCTGCCAGAAAACGGTGAGATTAGGAATGTAGGGTGGAGGCAGCTATTGCAGCCTTAATCCAGACCAACGTGGAAGGAGCGGTTGGGCGCCTTTGGAGGTGGTGTCACGAGGAGGACAGCAATCACAGGCTGCGTGGTTGGTTGGTTTGGGGGTTTAAACTAAGAAAGCATTCCCCAGGAAAAGGACAGATGGATGCAGAAACGTAAACTGAACAAACTCATGGGGATGCTTCACCACCAGCAAGAGACCCTTGGGGAGCCGTCCTCAGGAAAGGATATAGGAGTGTGTGAAGTTACTAAAAGAGTCTATTAGAGGTGCACGGCAGCTAGACATCCTGACACAGGGGAACCACGGGGCAACAGTAAAAGACCAGCATTGCTGCATCAGGAGCACTTTAGTGTCCTGAAAATCAAAAAGGAATCCTATAAAAATGGGAATGAGAGCAGAAGGGTGAGCGTAAAGGGACTGTGAGTGCACGTGGGGGTAGCATGAGAAAGGCTGAGTGAGTGGCAGGCAGCAAGGAGGCAACAGCAGAAGCTCCAGGAAGGATAATGGAGAGAAAAGAGATTTGACACTCGTGTCTTGTAGTGGAGAGGGAATGCAAAGAGAATTCACAGAGAGGGCTGCAGTGCCTTCCTCACCGTGTGAGCAGTTTCTAGGGCATCAGTGAGGGATGGGAACCTGGGCCAGGAAGGAAGCGCTTACAGGATGCTGAGGTAAGCTCAATCTGTCTGAGGGATCGAGCAAAATTACCCTGGAAAATACAAGCAACCTCTGAGCTGCTGGCACTGGTTTGTGACAAATGTTGAGGGATCCTTCAGAAGCGTGAGAGTAAAGCACAGCATCTCTGTGCAACGAAGAGAAAACAAGGGGAGGGAAAGGATGGGGAGTTA